TGTGGGCTCAGCGCTGCCTCTGTCCATCCACTCAATCATACCACCCAGCTCTAACCCCACCCAAGCAGGCCTGCCAGTCTGTGGGCTCAGCACTGCCTCTGTCCATCCACTCAATCATACCACCCAGCTCTAACCCCACCCACGCAGGCCTGCCAGTATGTGTTCATAGTGCCTCCTCTGTCCATCCATTCAGTCATACCACCCAGCTCTAACCCCACCCAAGCAGGCCTGCCAATCTGTGGGCTCAGCGCTGCCTCTGTCCATCCGCTCAATCATACCACCCAGCTCTAACCCCACCCACGCAGGCCTGCCAGTATGTGTTCATAGTGCCTCCTCTGTCCATCCATTCAGTCATACCACCCAGCTCTAACCCCACCCAAGCAGGCCTGTCAGTCTGGGGATACAGTGCCTCCTCTGTCGGTCCAATCAGCACTAACCCCACCCGAGCAGGCCTGCTAGTCTGTGAGCACAGTGCCTCCTCTGTCCATCCACCCAGCTCTAACCCCACCCAAGCAGGCCTGCCAGTCTGTGGGCACAGTGCTGCCTCTCTCCATCCACTCAGTGTACTCTCTGCCCTGTTGGCTGTGCAAACCAGCAGGTCCCAGGCCACTGAATGCATGTCTCTGTGACAACTTGTTTCAATTAATTTGCAACAAGAGCGTATAGTTAGTAATGCGTTTTTAGTATAACTAAGCAATGCACTAAAGTTTTGAACATACCTGGTGTAATTTTTACAAAGGGTTGTAAAGAACTTTGTACTAAATGTTTCTTTCATACTAAATCTTAGTCAAAGGTTCATGTTCCTTTGCGAATGACTTTTGAAAATACTCCTTTGCCATCGGATTCAAGTCAGTAATTTAATTCCAACTGCTAACAAAGCTGCTCCGGCTGATTGGACCTGTCATAGGTTAACAAGTATAGCAAATTGATTTCATTTATTTTTTTACACTGACTGTTTTGATCATTCTCCTTTTGAGGCCTGTATTGTCTTGTGAACAAACCCAGTGGCGATGCTAAGCTAATTCTGAGCCCCGTTTGTTTCACACAAATGCACACACCGTTGTCAAATACTATTCTAGGCTTTTTTTAACCATTTTATAATATCTGAAACATGCATGTTATCATTGTTCCTACTGGACAATATTTCCCTAAACCCCACTAAATGAACAGAAAAGGCTTTTATCATTAATAAATTGCAATATGGGGAAGCTTGTATCTCCTTTATCCATGGAGACAAAGTGACCAGGCCATTTTTTTTGTTAAAAGCTGAATAAGAACAGAACATGCTTACTTTATAATTGATGTATTTTAAACTAACATATTATTACTCATTGTCATTGGGATCCTGCTTAGCGTAACTCCGGACAGCGATGGTGGATGGAGGAGAGACGTCGGCTCATGTTTTTATGAATTTCTCTAGCAGCATAGAAATTTGTGTTGAGTGTCAACATTTTTCTTTGAATAAGAGCGAATGTCCTGTTTACTCAAACTACGAGTTTTATTCTCACCTGCAGCCCCCGTGAGACCCAATAACCTCTGACGCCTTGAGAAACGCTTCAGCAAACGAAATCCAGCTAAACAAAGACCCAACTGCTGCCAAGTTGGGACCCACGTTGGCATATTTGGCCACTGGGGTTAAAGGTCAAACGGTGGCCTTGTGTGCAGGGGGTCAGACAGCAGAGAAATTGTATATCTGGAGCCGTGAAACAGCTGAGATGGTCGCCCTGCAGAACTCAACCCCCCCGAACTCTTTGTCTCCATTTAGAATAAATATCCGCTCCACTGTGGACCTGGCAAATACCTTCAGTGCAAATTAATTCCTGTACAGCTTCAGAGCACTTAAAAGATAGATTAACAGGACTATGGAAACTTCCTGAAGTTATGTACATATACCTATGAGTATATCCTATTCGGTATGTATAAGCTGAGCAGATAAAAACTAAGGCTTTCAGTGGATGCCATTTAAAAGCAGGCCTGTCATTTTTAATAAAGAAATTTAGTTTTAACGGATGGCGCTTACATGGTTAGTGCATTTCATTTTTATTTTGTTCAACGATATATATGACTTGACATAGTATTTAGTACTTGCACAGTACTTGTCAAAACAATTTAAATAGGCAAAATGTATTTTATATATATATACACTACCAGTCAAAAATTTTTGCACACACAGATTTTCTACGTTTGTGTGTTACTCATTTAACATTTACTAAACATACTCTCAATATTCTTTGCTAAGAATGACAGTATTTTCGCCATTTGAGAACCATTATTAGCAGAAAATGTCATATCTTTGATTCATCTAAGTAACCTCCTCCAGCAGCTATAATGGCAGAGAAAATTCATTCTTTGTACAAGGGACATCAAATCCTGCTCTGTTTCATAGGATGAAGCACTTAATTAGCGCATTTAAAGTTAAATGACAGCCTAGAATGTGACTATGTCATCACCACACGACCAGTTAATAGGATGTCAGACATGCACTGTTACATACCCTTTCTACGTTATAAAGGAAACTTGTTTTATTTGGCTTATATTTTCATTTATAGTTATTCACTCAATTTTCCAGTGCTTAACAAGAATAAAAAATCTGCCGTTTATGAAATAAATGGAACAGTGATAAAAAGCTGTGATGTGCGAAAATGTTTGACTGGTCGTGTATCTAAGCTTTTAGATTTAATTAGAAGAAATAATGTACAAAATAATAAATGTACAGTGAATAATCTATTCATCTTGAAGCCATTTATCCTGGTCAGGGTTTCCAGGGGCCTGGAATCAATCCCAGGTGGTGTAGGGCACATGGTTGGGGCTCATCCTGGATGAGAATCCAGTTCGTCACATGTATGTGCCATAAATATATACAGCCAATACCACAAACAATTTAGAGATGCCAATTAACCAGTCAGTCTTTGGACTGTGGGCAGGACCCCATGCAACACAGGGAGAAAACCCAGAGAGCACAGCTGGGATTTGAACCCACAACCACCATGTAGCCCCACAACAAAAAAGTGACCAGAAATTCCACATGTATATACTTAGAGGGCTGTCGGTGTCCAGCTTGTCTCTGACACACAGAGACACCAACTCAGAGCCGGTCCTGCCACCTTCCCTCCACCACAGACAAGACGTGGTGCTGTAATTACACTCACGTTCCTGAGGCATCGCTGAGATGCTTATAGTAATCAAATAACTCCATGCAGGCCGGCTAAGGAGGGACCCACGTTCAGTTTGATGTCTGCTCACACCATTCTCCATGGTCTGTACACTGTCAGAAAAAAGGATTCAAGGATCCAAAGTTTTTATCGTCATATGTACAAAGTACAATGTACAGAGCACAATGAAATTCTTACTTGAATGCTTCTTCAGAGACTAGTCAATTAACAATTAATAGAGCAGTGCAACATTACCCTAACTAACAATAAATAAACAATAGAAAAATGACAAATATTGACAGTGTCCATGAGTGACCAGGAGAGTGCAGGTGTGAAGTGTTTTTAAAGTATGTGTAACGTGTGTTGACAATATTGCACATAAGCATATATTGCACATTATATTGCACAGAGAGAGCATTATTATTATTGCACATGGTTGCAACCTTTATATGTCACAGCACAGTGTATGTTGAACAGTCTGACAGCACTGGAGTAAGAGCTGTCCCTAAATCTTGTGGTGCGTGTGTGGATTGTCCGAAAACTGGTTAACAGACAGGAAACAGCGAGTAGTTATTAGAAGCACAATGTCACAGTGGGCCTGCGTTCATAGTGGGGTACCGCATGGATCAATTTTAGGACCACTATTGTTCCTAATTTACATTAATGATATTGATACCAATACATACAGTAAACTGGTTAAATTTGCAGACAACACCAAGGTGGGTGGTGTAGCAGATACTGATCTAGCAGCATAAAGGCTACGACGGGATCTTGATTTAATTAACGACTGAGCTGATATCTGGCAGATGAAATTTAACACAGATAAATGTAAGGTAATTCATGCAGGGAGCAAAAAATATAAAGTACAGATATTTTATGGGTTTCACTGAAATAAAGGCAGCTGATTATGAGAAAGACCTTGGTGTGTATGTTGATGCTTCCATGTCCCACTCTCGCCAGTGTGGGGAAGCATTTAAAAAGGCCAATAGGATGTTAGGTTACATCTCTAGGTGTTTGGAGTTTAAGTCAAGGAAGGTGATGCTACGATTATACAATTCCTTGGTAAGA